ATGTCGTTATGTTATTATGATATTGATTATGAAATTAATGATATTTTATCCAGATTAGCATAGTCAAACACTCGATTAAATTCTATTTTGACCCTCCGGGGTCAAATGTGATTCCTTCCTGAGTTTGATTGCAATAATCAGGATAAATTCAAAATTTTGAAATTTGAACCCATTAGAGAATGGTATGTTCACCTCCCGGTGTGATATATTGTTCATAATGTAGTGTTCAATTTGAAAATTCAAAAGAATTTAACTTTCCCAAAGAAAATTAATCCTTTTTCAAAACCTATATTTTTCAATCAAAACATCGCTTTCATAGAGGGTTCAGATGCATCATAGAACACTTGCTTTTAGTGGTTCACTTACACTTGATTTTAATATTTCATCAGAGTTCATATAAAATTTAAAAAATGATTGACATTCAAATTAGAAAAAATTTTATATTAAATTTATTAAACTATTAACATATGCAAAGAAATGATTATATATATATATATATATATCCTTATGACTTTACTTCTACTTATATCTCTCTTTAACCTTCTACACATGCCTCTAATAAGTGGTGCTACAATCAGAACAAATTTAATGCCACATAACCTACTACACATGCCTCTACTAAGCAGATGGGGCTAGAACAAAACATATAGGACCCTTATATTATTTTAGATAGTGCATTTCTGTACATATCAAGACATCTCTAACAACATGATATGAAAATTGCAAATGTAATAGTAACTAAATTATAATTTCAATGTAGTATTCAAATAATACATTGAATTGATAATAAAAAGCCGCATTTGTATGACAATATACTCATTGAACTTTTTTCATTCAAATTCCAACTTCATAGGGGTATTTACGTTAATATTTTAAGACATTTATATATCTATTGCAATTGCCACAAAAGCCTCAATCTAACTATATACTGAAAAACTACAGAGGTGTATTTGCATGAATACTTTTATATAGCTAATAATTCTAGGAAAAATCAATCGATTGAAGTCTGAGTGCATATAATTAAAACATTCATATTAAAACACATGATAATATATGAATGGTTATGCATTGAAAACATTTTAAAATTTGATAAAAACATATTTATGTCCATAAAATTTTATATTTTTTTTAGAATTGAAATCAGAGATAGGAATTCAAAACTTTACCTTGTGCTCTACAAAAATCCTGAGTGGCCTAAGGGATGAAACCTGAGCTTTGGCTATAAAATCCTCTCTCTTCCTTTATCTCTCCAATCTTTTCTTTCCCCTTCTCTTATTCTCTGGCTGGGTGAGAGGTTTTGGGTGATTTATCAATTGGTTTAAGAAATTTTTACATATAAAATTCATAAATTTGAACTAGTGCCACAACGCTCGTCTTTCTAGAGTCGTTGAACTACATATGAATCTTCCAGTCTCTCTTAATCTAAAGATATTGCATCACCTTGCACGTTTAAGTTCCTTTCTCCCATTGGAGAGCTCAATGCCACGTCATTGGAGCTACACACCCAATGTCGTAACGCTCTTAGAGAAAATTTTATGAATTAAAATTCACTTCCCCATATCACCTCTTGATTTACCTAAGGGTTCATTAGACACTCGGGGACTTACATTTATCAATTAAGTTAAAGTTAAACAAATATTTCTCTTAATTACTCGAGTTTCAGAATAGCAAATTTTACATCCTTCTCTCATTATAAAATTTTCATCATCGATATTTCCAATATACAGTATCTTCATAACATGCCAGAATATTGTTGACTCATTTTCATTTTTTTTTTCAAGTTGCTTCCCACTTTGATTAGTGCTTCCCTTGGACTTTCAACATCAAAATCTATTTATTTTTTAGCTGCTTTACATCAAAGGCTAGTATAAGTTCAAAACTTTCCTCCATAGGTTAGATTAGGATGCACGTCCACTTAAGCATTAGGAAGTCTTCAATATATATATGATATCAATTTCCTAAATGTTGATACATGAAATAAATAATAAATATTTGACATGTGATATGATAGAAACACTTTATGAGTAGTTTTTTCAAGCCATTTAGTTTCTTTAAATTGTCCTATATACTTATGATTGACTTCCTTTCATTTTCAAATATACTCACTCCCTTTATTGGACTGACTTTCAGACATACAAAATTTCCAATTTGAAATTCTATAGAGCTGTGTTTTGGGTCATAATGTTTGCTCTTCCTATCCTGAGTTGCTTATAGAAGAGGTCGAGATAATCCATTAATGACATATGACCTATCCAATGTTATATGTTAGAGCCCTGCTTGATGATGTTAACATGTGTGGAAGATGTATAGATTGAATCCCCCTGTGATTGATCATTCAGTGAACGTGACACAATAAAGATTGTATAGTTCTTGAATCAAGAATTTAAGATTTGATTGACATCCTCCTAGAATGTTTGACCTATCCGAGGTTGTATATTAGAGCCCTTCTTGATGATGCTAACGTGTGTGGAAGAGGTTGAATCGAAACTTTCTTATATCAATTTTTCCTTGATTGGGAGGGAGAAAATGCCATGTGTATCCCGAATTAAAAGGTGAAGAATGATATATCTTTAGACTATTACTGTCTTTTGAGGTTGAGAATAAGACATTGCCAAGGAGTAGAAGTCCAACAGGGGACTATATAAAGCTTATAATTGATTGGAAGCATCCTTAAATTTGTTGAGATTTTTCTGATATATCATCTTGATGTTGAAAGCATTGGAGGATCTTTTTGGCCACGATTGGAGATAAAGTTGCCTCCTAGTCCGCATCTAATTCATATAGAATTGATGCATCAATGGATAATATTAAGATATTGATTTGAGTGATCTTTTGAGATTGGGAGCAATAGTTACCCCACAATCAAGAATGATTTTTTCACTGACGGCACCAAACTGTTACATCATGGAATATTCATGGAGGTAGAGAAATATATAGTCTAATGTCTTAGCGTTGTATGAAGATCCAGCACACAAGAAGATGAAAGAGAGAGGGTGTATCGTTCATAAGAGACACCAAAATTTTTACATAGAAACCCCTAAAAAAGTGGAAAACTCATAGGGTCTGGCCCAGGTTGAATGGATCTACTAGTATTTGTAGTCAGTTACAAATGAGGCCCTTCATTGGGAGAAGACCTTGGCTCGATGTCACAAATGTATAACATATAGAGCGTATTACATGGTGTGAGTTACATTAATAAACATAAACATATTTGTTTGGTCAGTAGGACCATAATCGATAGGAAAGAGATCAGAAAGATCATAGTAGGTAGGGAATCGAGGTCAGAGAGACCATTATCTAATGATGGAGGTTAGAAGGACCGTAATTGGCGACAGAGGTTAGAAGGATCATAGTCGGCAAGAGATAGGGGTCTGAAAGATCGTAGTTGACAATAAATCGGGTCAAAAAGATCGTTGTATGGTGATGGAGGCTGGAAGGATTATAATTGGAAGTAGACCGGGGTCAGAAAGACTGTTATCTAGCGATGGATGTCGGAAGAACCGTATTTGGCAACAGAGGTCAAAAGAATCATAGTCAGCAGGAGATAGGGGTTCAAAAGACCATAGTAGTAGGGTGGTACTTCGGTAGAACTTTGGGGGTCAAGTGGTGTCCTTGCAGAAGTCTGGGCCTCATGTGGTGGTCCGACAGAAGTCCGGGCCTCATGCGATGTTCCAGTAGAACTTCAGTTGTCAGGTGGTGGTCCGACAGAAGTTCGGGCCTCAAGTGGTGGTTTGGTAGAACTGTGGGCGTTGGGTGGTGGTTCGGCAGAAATGCGGGGCATCACGTGGTGGTTCGGTAGAAGTTCAGGCCTCAGGTGATAGTCAGCCAGAACTCCTGGCATTAGGTGGTGGTTAGCAGAAGTCTGGGCCTCATGTGGTGGTCTGGTAGAACTCCGGGCCTCAGGTGGTGGTCTGGTAGAACTCTGGGCATCAGGTGGTGGTCCGGTATAACTCCGGGCGTTAGGTGGTGGTTCGATAGATGTCTGGGGCTTAGGTGGTGGTCAGGCAGAACTCCGGGCGTTAGGTGGTGGTCCGATAGAACTCCGGGTATCAGGGGGTGGCCGACAGAAGTGCGGGCCTCAAGAGGTGGTTTGGCAGAACTTTGGGCGTCAGGTGGTGGTTTGATAGAAGTCTGGGCCTGACGTGGTCATCCGGTAGAGCTCAGAGCCTCAAGTGGTGGCCCGACAAAACTCCAGGTGGTGATTGAGGAGGAGTGAGGAGGAATGAGCGATCTCTGATCTATCTTTTGCTCTCTTTCTTGGAGCCTTCCCTTCAAGAGGGAGGAGTCTATTTATAGAATTTCCAGAGTGGCAAGACCTATAAATATGTTGGAAATCAAGGGCATATGGGGAGTGGCTTGGATGGACGGCCGATATTGAATCCCTTGATTGTGGACCATTTGATGGACATTTGAATGTCTTAGTAATGTCGGAATTCAGTGATCTTGAGCTCGCTAGATTCATCTCGTCGAGCCGCTCGATTCGACTAAAAGCAAGTCACATTTGGAAACCGTTTGGTAGTCCAAATTGTGATTCGAACCTTCCAACAATGCTTCAGATCCTTCATTTCGACTCATTTGGGTTCAGATTGAGTCAAATTTGGTGTTGTTGGGTTCGTATTCTCGAGACGTTCAGTTCGGCTGTAAGTTTGCTTAAATCGGAGTTTGGATGTCCCAATTTTAATTTAGGAAGTTTCATATTTGATTTTTCCTCTAAATTTGTGTCCGATCAAGATAATTTTTTGAGGATGTATCACAAGTAATCAATTAAATTTTTTTTACACTAATCTTTATAAATTCAGTAAATTTGGAAGTTATTTTAACCAAAAGTTTAACCCGTTCGCAAGTAGAGCCCGAAGCTATGATCTTGTTTGAGCAAAAAGTAGAGCCCGAAGCCGCGACAAACCGCCGGGCTTGATCGTCCTCTTTCGGGGTTCGAATGCGTGCGACACGAGAGAGACTTTCCGTGTTTGCACCGACCCGTACTTGTTATATAGTTTATTTTTGGCGCGAAAGCTTCCCGCCGACACCATCCATTCGGCCCTTAACCCTACAAGGGTTCAACTCCTTTTCCCACTTAGCCGACGTTACCAGCTGCAGGTAGGAGAATTGAGCTAGAGAGAGGGGCGAGAGCTGAGGAAGATCCATTCAAGCTCTATGGTAACTCATCTTTTTCCACCATCAAAGATCTACTTCTTAATTTCCTGCGTTCGAATGAAGAATATCGGTAGGTTCTTTCAATCTCTCTTTGCAGGCGGATCCAGAAAATCCTGCTTCGAACACTGGATCGTTTTCATCGGCGGGTTTCAGCACCGATCGGCTTCCTCCAGACTCTTCGGGATCCTCTGACGAGGAGGAAGCTGCCGTCGACCTCCATGCCCTCAGGGATGACGATCTTGACGGCGATGGTGGCGATGGGGAGGAGGAGGGCGAAGATCTCTTCAACGACAACTACTTGATGTAAGTGGTTGAAGCCCTCTCGCCGTTTCCATAACACTTCTAAATTATTTGATATTGATTTAATGAAACAAATGGGGTTGATTACAGGGACTATCGCCATATACAGACCCAGGATCAGTACGAATCGATTGGCATGGATGATTCCATGGAGGACGAGAGAGACCTTGACCAGATAATGGCTGATCGCAGAGCTGCTGAGATGGAGCTCGACGTAAGGGAGGGGCGCACTGCTGATGCTAATCGGAAGCTACCCCGAATGCTTCATGATCAGGGTATGCTTTTGAACCGTATTTCCCTTGCTCATTTGCTAGTTTCCACGGAAGTTCTTTTCTTGCTTCTCTCCGGTAAACTATCTTGATTTCCACGTTTTTGATTCTGCGCCAGCCAGTTAGGTTTTACCTAGTGAACTGTTACTTTTTGTAGAAGAACTGTGCAGAGTTGGGATTTTCCTCGGAATTAAACTATATCATTGTTTTCTTAAAAGGTCTCCTCAAACATGTAAAGGTGAAAAATGATAAATTGCAGCATAACTGTTCACTGACAAGTGAAGTCTGTTGAAATGAATCATGAAATGCATTCCATTTAAATATGGTACAGGCACGCTTCAAGTGTGAACCACTCACCCAGATCCTAGAGGGCCAATCTTATTGGCTCAATGTGGTGATGCGTTTTGTGCTGGATTGTGATGTCTAGTAAAGCGGATAATTGTTTTTGTAAAAATGTATATAATAATAGTTATTGAAAGTGTTTTGAGAGTATACATTACTATGGTATTGGTATAAGTTGGTTAAATGATCAAGAAAAAGAAGAAGAAAACCAAGGTCCAAAATTACAGAAGGTAGCGGGCAGGATACTAGTTTCTTGCTGATATATGATAACTTCTAACAACATATTAAGAAATATGGTCTCACCAAAAGATAATTTTTCATAGCTAAGCTTCTTAACTTCCATAAAATTCAACCAAAAAAATGCATTACAGTAAATGCTTTGTTAATTTGTAGGAACATTGTCTTATAATATGTATTAAACTACCAGAGAAACAATTGAAATGTATTACATTTCAAACAATAAGAAATATTGTACATAAAATACTATTGTCACAAAAATAATGTGAAATTACTAATAATAATATGCTGAAAAAAATACTAGAATAAGCATGGTTATAAAGAAAAGAAACATATGGAGATAGATGATAAGCTCTTGTACATTGTGGGGGAATGGGATAACAAGAACTTGCTCATAAAGCTTGCAGAAATGTAGATAAATATCAAAGAAGCTTAAGATTGAAGAATGTGACATAGATTGCACAAAATTTCAAAACATGATGAGAAAAAATTCACAAAAAGATCTTAAGATGAAAATAATCATTTATCTTGTATTCCATTGATGCATTAGAAGAACCATCAAGGCACTTGCCTTGTCAAAAAGTTATAAGCAGTTAAAATGGGTATTTCTTCATATGACTGATTGAGGCAACGAGGAGCAATCACATAAGCATCTTACTATTATATTTTTTCTTTTTGTTATCACTTATTGTTTAAATTCTTAATTATCTACTTAAATTTTCTTGTGCATGCATTACAAATGCAAGCTTATTTTCTTAAACAAATGAATTATATTTTCAACAATATCACCTAATTTAATATCCACTTTAATGGTGTTTTAAAGAAAATAACAATTATGTATTCTTATTCATAAAATTTATTTTAGCCATTATTAGTATAGTAAGTGTACCTCGATTAACTAGTAACTTAATAGAAGGTTTAAACATTTTCATAAATGTAAGATGGAAAGGATTTTGAGGATCTTGGTTAGATATCATTTAAAAAATGAGGTCATATAAATGTAGTGTTATTTGAATATCTAATGACTTGCTAGTTTATTTTATGGTTTATTGGCATTGTATGGATGATGCGATACTTTGGAGTCAAGATAAACATTAATGCATTCATGCTTAATAATGCATGATAACCTAAAATAAATTGCTGCAAAATGCATGAACCATGTCCTTCTCTCTCTTATGCACAAGGGTCTAGTGTAAGAATAATCAATTGGAATTCAAAAGCCAAATGAAGAAAGGATGAGTTCCATTCATGTTTGTCTAAAGGTTGCTTAGATTGTGCAAGTTTAGCAATATTAGATCTTGGAGATGACCCTAGAAGAGATCCAATCATGTTTGACATTTTTCTTATGTATTTTTCAATTTTTATGGCTTTGTCAAAGTAATTCTTTAATGTATAAAGTTGATAATATTCTATTACATTCTTAATATTAAATTATAAGTTTTTTTAAATAAATTTAATCCTTAAAGGCCTATTATTTTTTCTTGATATTAAATATTGTAGTAAATTCTTCAAATTCATTTAATTATTCTCCTATATTGAGAGAATGAATTAAAATATTAATTTAGGTAACCAATTATTATTTGTGATATGGGGGTATTTTTTGCATATGCATCAATTAATTCTACTCATAAATGATTGCTAGTTGACTATTTCTTCATTTTTTATGTTAAATTTTGAAATGTTTTATTTATTAGATTAATTTAAGATTACAAAAGACATTATTTTCAAGCTTGTCAATCAAAATGAAATAATCCTCCATGTTGGTTAGCCACTCAATATATGTATTTGGGTAATGTCTATGGTCTACCATAAAATGATGGACTATCAACTTTGATTTGTCTACTATGATTGCTATAATTACTATTCTTAAGCAATTTGTCATGGTCAAGTTGTGCAATATCATTTATAAGTTGTCTATATGGAGTTAGATAATCCTCCTATAAGAAGCATTAGGATAATGTCTTTTAAGTCTTTATTCAGGGATCTTTGAATACTCTTTAGTTGTAAAATAGATTTTGAGTCATCGAAAAATCAATTAATAATTTCATCTAGGCTATTAATGAATGTAAACATCAAAACAATAGTAAATTTAGATTTTATGAAGAGAAGCGAGGGCTAGTGGTTGTGTTATTTGTTGGCTTGTTTGAGGGATGCCAATCCCATTTTTTATTTTGTGTGTTAATTCTCATCTAATTGTCAACTTTCTTTGCTAGGCCATAAATGATCTTAGGTAAGTTTGGCGGTCTCATGAATAGTTGCTTGTGCCTTAGAAAAGTATAATCATTTTAGAGTCCATTGACATCACATCTTATTTGGCTTCGATCATTTTGATTTGTGCACTTGCTAGATGTGGCATAACATAGATCTCTCTTCAATTTGTTTATAAGTAAGATATTTAATGCACATCATTTAGGTCAAAAATGATAAAATTGATGAATGAATTTATTTATGCTAGTTAGAGGTGATAATTAATTAAGTTTAAGCAATCTAGTGTAAAGTCAAAATCAAAGATTTTGATTTCGACTTAATGCCACATTCAAACTCAGTAAAAAAAAAATGATTGATTTTGAGTCTAACTTATAGTTGATTTGAGTAAATATAAATTTAGGTGGATGAGTGGATTTACCCTTAGAGATAGGATACGAAATAAGCATATACGTGAAAAGGTCGAAGTAGCTCCAGTGGAAGATAAGATTAGAGAGAGTTGCCTTAGATGGGTTTGGTCGCATTAAACGGAGGCCTTCCGATGACCCGGTTAGGATAGTTGAGGTATTAGATTTGACTTATGTTAAGAAAGGTAGAGGTAGACCTAAAAAAACTTGGTTGGAAAATATTAGAAATGATCTTTCTTTATTAGATTTAAATGAGAATTTGACTTTTAATAGGACATAATGGCGAAAAAGGATTCATGTAGCCGACCCCACGTAGTGGGACAAAGGCTTGAAGTTGTTGTTGTTGTTGTTGGTTGTTGTTATATCTATTTGAAGTATTCAACATTTATTTCTAAAGATGCATAATAAATATATTAAATGTAAATGAATATATGTGTTATATATTTTTTATTGATGGAGATTTGTAAAGGTATGTGTGAAAGATTGAGAGTTTTGGGCATAGTGATTTGCCCAAATACCAGTTATAAGAAAATATTTTATATGTAATGATATAATTATATTTTGCCCTTTTAATTTGCATTCGTAGGATTTTTAAATAGGTAATAGCTTATATTCATAAAAATATACAAATTTTCAGTGAAGTTAATTACATATCATGCTTGAGTTTTTTCTTAAAATTCTAATTTTTTTTGGGTTAATGTGTGTATTAAGTTTTTATGCAATGATTATGCAAGGTAAAATTTGAATTTAAGCATTATAGTTTTTTATAGTGGTATTAGTTTACATGTTTGATTAATTGCTTAAAGTTAAAATTTTGGATTCAACAAAGATTAAAATTACCACACAACATGATTGAACCTCCATGAGTTGACAATGTTCTAGATGTAAAGTTTACTTCATGATTTTGTTGTAGCACCTTTCTATCCTTCATAATAGTTCTATCTTGATTTATGTTGTTGATCATTGAAAAATAAGTTCCTAAAATCATCCTTTAAAAAAAGAAAAGTTTTAAAGATTGAATGAACAAAGTGAGTTATATATCATCTTGGCATGCCTATTTTGGTTTTAGACTTTTATTTATCAAATTCAGTCCCGTAATTTATCATATTTTAAATTTATTACTACTTCCTTCATCTCATTTGACTAGAATTAATGGAAGTGGGTTTTAAAAGTCTTTTGTTGAGGGCACTATCAACCGTTCAAGTTGAGAAATGCTTTAGAGATATTTTACAATAATTCAAGTTGAGGGCACTATCAACCTTTCAAGTTAAGAAATGCTTTAGAGATCTTTTACAGTAATGAGAGCTCTTTAACTCTATTAAGCTTGTCTACAAAAAATGATAAGAGAGTCGAGGGGAATAGTGTTGAGAGACCCAATGATTTGCTATACTAATGAGAGAGTTGGGGAGCAATGGCCATAGAGTCAAGGAACAAGGATGACATAGTCCATTATCATGAATGATAATAAAGTTTCTTAATGGAAGGATCCTCTGGAGCGGTTAGAGCCTCAGTAATATGAAAAAAATGTATGAGTACTTTTCTCTATCAAAACTTATAAAGTCAATAATATTCTCAACCTTTGCTTCTCAAGATCAGCATTTTTGAATTGCACATGACTAATGTGATGTGAAAGAACCAAAAGGTTGAGATTTGATAAGTTGAGAGATTAAATTGAACATTAAGATGTCTTAGATTATAATGGATGCAACTAAAAAGTTTAGGGCCTTCATACTCATACAAAAGTATAGTTCCTATCTAATTAAATGAATGATAATGCTAATAATTAAACATAAAATAAAAGATAGTTAGGGAGTTATGTGGTTTGGGTTTGAGTTTAGATTGGAATATTTTCATGAATTTTGGAATTGGATTATGGATATAGACCATGTGGCATCAACATCATGATATGAGAGCAATTTTTCTTAGAAAAGTTGGTGATGGTTCCCAAAATATTCCATTTGGTGATGAGGTTGAAGAGGCCAATTAATCTTATTTCTTCCATGAAAATTAATTTCTATTTGAAGTGAACATGAAGTTTGAAGTACCATTGATTTATATCAATGCAGAGGTGGAGAGTTTGTTAGAGCTTTTATTGATGTACTTTTTGAGATGTAAATTTCATCACACATAACATTGCTTCTTTTGTTTGTTTGATATTCTCATCACACCCTTTTGTATTGAAATGTTTGCTCTATGAATCATAATCTTCTAAGAATGAAATGACCTATGTTCAAAGGACTTCTTTGCTATATTCTTTCTTGTTGATCACAAAGATTGTGACAAAGATACGAGCAACGTGTAGAACTATACTAGAGTTTTTGGGCAAGTGGTTACCTTGGAAATCTCCTTAGAAGAAAGATCTATCCTCATGAAATATGTAGCAGAATTGCATGAAGGCCTTTGATGAGAAATTAAGTTATTTCTATTAGGGAGTATCTTAGAAGCAAGCTTAAAGGCCATTGTCATAAAAAGGTGATACTCAACAGATAACAACAGCTAAGGGCAATAGCTCCTTCATAAAAAGGTAGATGGTAATATTGTAGGATAAAATAAGGTTAATGTGAGAGGCCTTACTATACCTATTACATGTTCAAAAGTTGCTTATATCAAGATTGTTGGAGGCTAAAACATGAGAATATACCAAATAAAAATTCTACCAGCTTTAGGACATATTCTCCTCATAAATTTTAAGAAACTAATGGAGATACTAAGATGATGAGAAAATTGAACTTCCAATGTTAATGGCTCATGTCTTTAATGAAGAGAAAGGTCTTTTTTTTTTCATTTGAAAGGAGAAAGAAGGCATATTTAGGTGCAATATATCGGTAGTAATAAAGCTCTAATACTTTATTAGAATAATTAAGGCTTCTCACTATTCCACACCCACTCTACTCAAGTCCCTATGCTATTAGTGATCAGGAATGATATAGCTTATAGTAGTAAAGCAGTGCATTGCAATATTTTCCATCATTGGGATATCATTGATGAAGTCATGTGATCTAGTTCCTCTAGATTTATGCCTTGTAAATTTAAGAAAGGGGAGAAGGATGTTATGTACTAGAGGAGAGAACAACATTATATTTTTATAATATACATAAAGAAATTAATACTTCACAAGTTTGTTCCACTAGTGAAGTAATTGGTGGTATCAAATTAAGGCAAATGTGTGGTCAATCTATCAAAAGTATAGGACTCTCTTTTATCAAGAAACTTTCATTGTAAGCCTAGTAGCTTTACAGTTATTTTAGACCATTGATCTCTTATGCACAGTAAGCCTCTAAGTTTCTAGTCATCTTTCCAAGGGAAGTTGAATCATGATGTAAACAATTGTCCCTAATAGATCAAGGAGTGCATTTTAAATTTATTTTATTGCAAACTGTATCCATTTTCTATGCATGTAATTATTTTATAGCGTGCTCCAATTGCAGACACAGATGATGATGACTATGTCAGGCGTCCAAAAAGATTTAGAGCTGATTTTAGGCTACCAGGTGGACCAAGAAGTGAAGAAGATGTTGTTGGTACCCCTAGTTCACCTGGAAGATCAGGGCCTCCCAGGACTCCAAGAGATGACTTACCCACCACTGATCAGACAGAGGATGACACATATGAGGTATTACAGTTGTTAATTGCAGTTGAAAATACTCAATTGTGTTTACTTATCATGTCTTTGTGTTTTGATTGAAACACTTCTTCCTTTGCTTTTCACAAATATGATTGTTTTTCACTTGTTTAAAACCTTAGAATTCTTTGTTAGGATGAATACGATGACGACGCAGAGCTTAATATGTATCGCGTTCAAGGAACTTTAAGGGAATGGGTTACAAGAGATGAGGTTCGAAGATTTATTGCCAAGAAATTTAAAGAGTTCTTACTGACATATGTGAATCCAAAGAACGAGCATGGGGACTATGAATATGTCCGGTTGATCAATGAGATGGTGTTAGGTATATCTATTCATAACATTGACCTGATTTGAGTTAGGACAGAGAATTCTTAATGCATATAATAATAGAGAATTTTAATTTGTCTCTCTTATACAGCTAACAAGTGCAGTTTGGAGATTGATTATAAGCAATTCATTTACATTCATCCAAATATAGCTATTTGGCTAGCTGATGCACCCCAATCAGTGCTGGAAGTCATGGAGGAAGTTGCTAACAAAGTTGTTTTTGATTTTCACAAGAACTACAAAAATATTCATCAAAAGGTTTATGTACGTATTACAAACCTACCAGTATATGATCAAATACGTAATATCAGGTTCGTCCTTCTGCACTTAACTTATTATTTTCTTTTCCTTGGCAATTGTCTTTTTATTGAATGAATAAATTGCAACCTAGGCAAATCCATCTGAACACAATGATTCGAATTGGAGGAGTTGTGACTCGGCGATCTGGGGTTTTCCCACAACTACAACAAGTAAAGTATGATTGCAACAAATGTGGGGTAATTCTTGGTCCCTTTTTCCAGAACTCTTACTCTGAGGTGAAAGTAGGATCTTGTCCAGAGTGTCAATCAAAAGGCCCGTTCACTGTCAACGTTGAACAGGTGCGCTTCTTTTAGAAAACCTTACGTGGTTACTAAAAATGTTATAGCCATTCAAAAATAGGCTGGATTATTATTATAAGCTTATGAAACATATTTTCCTACATTTTTTCAAACTTGTTTAGTGTATAACCATCCCAAAATTCAGACAATTTACAGGAACTATCAAAAGCTTACGCTTCAGGAAAGTCCTGGAATTGTGCCTGCTGGTAGATTACCAAGATATAAAGAAGTTATACTTCTGAATGATCTAATTGATTGTGCCCGTCCGGGAGAAGAAATTGTATACATTTTTTCCTTTTCTAATTTAGTTTTAATAGTTACAATTGAGTGTTGCCATATTACCTCTTACATATGATTATTTTCAGGAGGTTACCGGCATTTATACCAATAATTTTGACTTTTCACTCAATACCAAAAATGGTTTCCCTGTTTTTGCAACTGTTGTTGAAGCAAATTATGTTACGAAGAAACATGATCTCTTCTCTGTGTACAAGCTTACTGATGAAGACAAGGCAGAGATTGAAAAGTTGTCGAAAGATCCAAGGATTGGTGAAAGGGTTTGTCATCCAGCTTTTCGGTTTCAACATTTGTCTTCGTTATTATTTAAGTCATGCTATAAACAAATATATGCTGTGTTACAAACAGATTGTAAAGTCCATTGCACCATCAATTTATGGTCACGATGACATTAAGACAGCAATTGCCCTTGCTATGTTCGGGGGACAAGAGAAAAATGTGAAGGGAAAACATAGGTTGAGGGGAGATATTAATGTTCTACTTCTTGGTGATCCTGGTACTGCTAAATCCCAATTTCTCAAGTAAGGATGACTCAACATGATTTAAGAGAATAAAAGCTACCCCAGCTTCTTGTTTATAGCTGATGGCCATGCTTTTGTGGCATAGATATGTTGAGAAGACTGGTCATAGAGCTGTTTATACAACAGGTAAAGGAGCCTCTGCAGTTGGCCTTACAGCAGCTGTCCATAAGGATCCTGTTACAAGAGAATGGACGCTAGAAGGGGGTGCTCTTGTCTTAGCTGACAGAGGAATATGTCTGATTGATGAGTTTGACAAAATGAATGATCAGGACAGGTAGCAGAGCATTTTTCTTTGACATTATTTCTTGCTTATTTCTCTAGTCATCAATCAATAACTTGGCTTCATCTTTTTTAATTGCAGAGTTAGTATTCATGAAGCCATGGAGCAGCAAAGTATCAGCATATCTAAAGCAGGTATTGTGACCTCTCTTCAAGCCCGATGTAGCGTCATAGCTGCAGCAAATCCCATTGGTGGAAGGTGAGTACAAACTTGTAAATTACTATTCATTTTAATTTGTCAACCTGATCCTTCTTGTACTAAAAATTTAAAGATTTGTTTGTTGGTCAGATATGACTCATCCAAGACATTTTCTCAAAATGTGGAGTTGACTGATCCAATAGTATCTCGGTTTGATATCCTTTGTGTTGTGAAGGTTACCTAGCGAACTCAGCAGCATTTCTCGTCTCAATGACTTTCTACATTTCACCATTACGGTCTTATAATTATATCCGAATGACTGTTAAATTTGAATGCAGGACATTGCAGATCCAGTAGTTGATGAAATGCTTGCAAAGTTTGTTGTTGATAGCCATGCTAGGTCACAACCCAAGGGTGGGAACATTGAAGATAAAGCTGCAAGCAATTCCCACGATGATTCACTGAATTCAGAAAGAACCGCAGATCCTGATGTATGATGTTTAAATTGAATATTTTTCTTATAGATGCCTAAATATATTCTAATGGTGAATTACATGTCAGATTCTTACACAAGATATGCTTAAGAAGTACATAACTTATGCAAAGTTAAATGTCTTCCCGAAGTTACATGATGCAGATTTGAACAAGCTTACACATGTATATGCCGAGTTGCGTAAAGAGTCATCTGTAAGATTCTCCTTTCACTCCCAAACATGATTAAAATAAGTTTTTTTAGTATATATATATATATATATATATATATATATATATATATAGTGATCCATATAAGATTTTTGTAGCATGGGCAAGGAGTCCCAATAGCTGTGAGACATATCGAGTCTATGATAAGAATGTCAGAAGCACATGCTAGAATGCATTTAAGGAGTTACGTGACGCAAGAGGATGTAGACATGGCTATTCGGGTACTGCTAGATTCTTTCATATCTACTCAGAAATTTGGCGTTCAGAAAGCACTACAAAAGGTGATGCTTTTCCTATTCTGGTTAATCATAAAACATATTTGTGGTCATCTAATTACTGCTTTTGGTACTGTTGGGAATCAAGCTCCAAGAATCGAAAGGGAAACAGTAAAAAATGATGAAAAAGAAAATAAGACCAGCATATAAAGAATTTAATATAGGTTCACCTAATAGTCTTGCTGCCATTGCTGTAAATTTTATTATAGTTCTATTGTGGTGGATAATTATAACCTTAATTTACTGAATACAACATAAATGTGATATCTCCCTTTTCATAAAGAAAAAATCTATAGAATAAAAATTTCGTAACACCTTAAACTAAATAACCCCCTCAAATACTCAGAACTAAGATTTTGTAGTGATTTTTTTTTCTTTTCATAAGATAAAATTTAGGCTCCAAAATTTAATAGAGACAACATGTTAAACTTGCTTATTTTATAGTCTCTTGATTTCTTAGGTTGTAAATATATTGCTGGTGTCTTGAGGTACGTGCTTATTTTGTTGCAGAGATTTAAAAAGTACATCACATATAAGAGGGATTACAACGAACTTCTCCTGCATCTATTGCGTGTACTTGTGAAGGAGGCAATGCATTTTGAGGAACTCATGGCGGGCCCAAGTATTCATCTTGCTCATATTGAGGTGAAGGTGGAAGAACTTAGAAACAAGGTTAGAGATTCAGAATCCTGGTTTATATACGTTTACTCCTTGCTCATCAAATGTTTTGTTCATCTAATATCCCTCTATATTTTTGAATCAGGCACAGGAGTATGAAATTTATGATCTTAAACCATTCTTTTCTAGCACAAATTTTATAAATAGCAACTTCATTCTCGATGAAGGCCGGGGTGTGATTAGACATCCGGTTGCCAGATGAAAATCATTCTGGATTTGGCCCTCAATCTTCCCTTAGTTGGCCTCCTGCTGCTGCTTTATAAAAGAAACATGGTATTGAAAGCTGTTCTATATTCCTTTTTGTTGTTATCCACTACAGCTTTCGAATTGTCAAATTTTGTTTTGCTTTTATTTCGCTAGCCGACCTGCTGGAACTTGGCTTCGAACAATCTATTGATCTTGCCAAAAATCTGCCATTTGATCTTTATTATTATATATAAGCTGTCGTCATATATATAAAAATATCTTTGATGTTTTATTTAGGTTTCATTTGGAACTATTTTTTTTAGTTCTTCTTAAATAGATTTTGAGTATAAAAAAATTAATTTTTATATTAAAAATGTTGGATCAGTCTGTCCAAATAAAGTTAGGCTAGACTAGCTCTCTATTTGTGTTAGTATTGTGGGAAATTTGATTGTCTATCAATCGGGTTGTACTATTGATTCAGACCTCAATTCTATTTATCGAGCTCACTAGGAGGTACTGGGGTTTTTCTCCCTACTTGGGTTCGGGTGCTTTGCACATAATTTTTTTTCGTACAGCTCCCCGGCATTGTATAGTTTGGTGGAAAAAAGATAGAGAGAGAAGCGCTACGACTATGTAAACCTTGGCGCAATGCTGCTACCAAGGGGTATTGTGATACTCCATACCTTGGCGGTGCAATGTTGTCATATAGTAGTTTTTTTTCCTAATTTTTCATTAAGGGTTGCATCCTTTGATGATTTTTATGAATATCTTGGTTTTTTCTTGTGCAAGAATGATGCTAAAGGGAAGAGAAATACTGAGAGAGTAAGATAGAAGAGAAATATGTACAATTTCTTCTAATTTTTATAGTGAATTTTTTTGGTGTGGTGTGGATTCATCATTTTTTTCCTATTTTGGATTTTTCCACGTTAAATTTTGATGTTCTTTTCTTTTTGCTGTACTTTTCTATTTTTTGTTTTTTTTCGTTGCGAAGTTTACTTTTCCCCAAAAATTAGTATTGTACGATTAGGATTATACAATACAATATCAGCTCTGATTCGACCCTTTTATTCAGGTTCCAAAATTTATAAATAATTATCCATCAAATAAAATTGTGTACTCTATGAATAAGTTCATCTAATACGAAAAGTTCAAAATTTGAATTTACCTATTTCTAAAATTATCAAGATTTTAACCTTTAAAAAGAATAAATGACCGTCTAGTACAATTTGAATTGTATTGCATGATTAATTATGTAATTTATAATTTAAAATTTTGTTAGTTAATCCCATTTGGTTTTCATAATTTACAAAATTGTCATTCATAACGTATGGTAAAAAGTAAATCATGCAATATGATTTTAATAAAAAATTCAAGAGTTTTAATTAACTTTGTTTAATTTTTTTACCTTGTATGTGTGTGATCGTTCAATCCACTTTATATCTAAGATATAAAAAGACTCAAGAAATAAAAAAAATACAAATACAAATACAAATTAGCACTTTTTTAATTCTTGGTCTTCTTGACCCCGGTGGATTTTCTTTGTGTTCAATTCTTTAATCTTCATTAAGTCCTTTGGAATCTGTCACCTATGTGATCCCTATAATGTTAGCGTAATAGCCAATTTCTTGTACACATAGCTTAACTTGTGATTAGTATAATTAATAATATTTGTAATGATAATAATCTAATGTAAATTGGGCTCATGAGGTTCAATAATAATAATAATTTTTATCATATTTTATATTTAATATGACTAATGCTTGTTTAATAACACAATATGATATGTATGAATAATGTTTATGGTCAAGATAATGTGAAAAGGAAGTATTCTTGCCAACATATATAATTATTTCAAAATTAAGGAATTTATGCTACAATCAATCATGATAAAGCTATCCTCACAAATAAAACTTCATTATAAACATGAAATAATATTTGCTCAATATGTACGATAGTAATGGAATGTGAAAAGCATGATTGATAACCTACAACATATTTATTAATCTATTACAAGCATCAAGGATAATACTTCGGAGCATGTTCTTTTGGTGCAAGAGTTATTTCATAAATTTAGATTTTCTAAATCTAAGAAAGGGATGGTGGCGATGAAAATTGATATGGAACAAGCATATGATTGTATGTCTTGGAATTCTTTGAGAAATATTCTGAATTACTTTGGATTTCCTACGGCTTTTTCAAATCTTCTTATGGAGTGTGTTATAAATTCAAAGTTTTCTATTCTTTTCAATGGCACCAAATCAAATTGGATAGAAGCTAAGAGTGGATTTAGACAAGGATGTCCACTTTCATAAATAAAAAATACCCACATCGAGTTTTAGCCATGGAACAACTCTCTTAAGATCCAAAAATTATAAAAAAAAAATAAAAAAAAATTGATGACTATTAACTTGAAATACCTAAATAATAAAAAATTTCTATTATACCCACTTTCACATAATTAAGTATTGAAAATTAAAAGCTAATTATTATAGTTGCAACTTATTGCACATACATTACCCTATAGACAATGTAGGCTAATCATTGTTATGATATAATTAAATCTAAAACTTTGAGGTATTATAAATTAATAAATAAAGGAAAATAATGAAGGCTTCATGGTTCAAGTTGATTTGGTTCAGGATTGGGTTTGATTTTGTTATATTTATATTTAAGGAAAATAAGTAAATTACATAATATAAGACAATGAATATTTGCCACAAAATAAAGAAACATCAATTGTAACTCTTAATCATATTAGATGCACAATAAACTTTTCAAATGTGGATGAGCTTGCATAAATGCTAGTCAGTTGTTATACTAAAAGCTTTAGATGAAATTACTTCTTATTATTTTCTAAAGCACATTTCTGGTGCAAAATGTTTTTGAATAAAAAAATCTTTGTACTAAAAACTATACATTATAGAAAGCAAAAAGAAAGCTGTTCCAAAAGAAGCCTTAGTTTTGCTTTATGTAGTTTTTTTATTAATTATTTTATTTTTTTGACAAAAGAAGCACTTTTATTTCATTAAAAAGGAAAATACAACGAAACCAACATGGAAGATCAAAAAATTACGAAGCTAAAATTATCCAATCAAGGTAAACAACATTTGGTCTCAGGAAATAATATAGGCCTCTAACTAACCATTCCAAAGGCATGCAAGGACCATCCATTGGTAGCATCAAGCACAAACCAAGCATCACCCCACAGTCCAAACAAATGCCACCTATCATTACGAGAGGAGCCACCAAGGTTGCCAGCAAGTCAAGTCCATCCAGAGGTTGGCCAGAAGCCACCTCAACATTGACCAGACTAGACAATTAAGGTTTACAACTGTGTAACATAGCATCCAGCCTAGCATAAAGGTAGAAGAGGAGACCATAAAAGAAAAGAACTCGAGAAAAAAAATTTCTTTTTTTTATTTATGCCTACACCATTTGCCACCACCATGGAATTATACTTTTTGAGCACAACGACTTACATTCAAGTTATACTCATGAAAATCATCCTTCGGCTCATCCAAATAATCTCCAACATTCCTGGAAGGAGAGGAGCAAGACCCATCCAACCAATCAGAATGATCCACATGACTAAATGTGAATTTGGAAGCCATTATTTTTTTAACTCCATATAAGAAATAAGTTCAATTAGAATATCCACAAAAGTCACATTCAAAATCAGGCCCAAGGTACCAGTCGAAACAACATTAGAAACCAACGAAATGGGAGTTAAAAAATCATTTGGAAGAATTATTCTTTTAATCAACTAGAATACCCACTATGATGCCCCATAATCTAGTTTGGAATAATTATTCTTTTAATTTTTTAATAAATAATAACTAGATCTATCTAATATCATATATCAGTAATAAATAATATAATAAGTTCTATAATTTAAAATATCAATATTACATCTATATCCATTCTCAAAAATCATATACACTACTCTAGATGTACACAATCAAATTATAAATACTCTATCATGAGTACAGAAGAAATAGAAAGAAACAGAACCTAAAGAATCTTGATCAATCTCACACTCCTACTCCTCTACACTGACCTTAAATCATTTAACTACATATAATGAGCTTAAAAAGCCCACTAGGTCATCAAACCTTATAACTGAATTCAAAGCATGACAAAAGAATAATATGAATATCAACAATCATATCATAGCAGTTACATTCATATGATCATTGAATAAATGCAGAAATAATAAAATTCCAGAAATCGTACAAAACATCAAATCAAAACATATGTAAAGACTTTTGAATTCATGTCAATGCAAAAAAAATGTATAGAAATAACTGTATATGTATATCACATGCTAAAAAATATCATATCAGTATCAACTCGGTGTGTCTAGTGGATCAATGCACATGCACAATATATATCATGTGATCAATATTTTAATAAAATTAGAACATTAGTAACATCAACATCATTGGTGAAAGTACAGTAAAGCCGTACAATAGCAGTGATTCAGTAACATGCATTTTAATAAATATATTAAACAAGTAACAGTCTTGTCTATAGCGATGTTTTTCTAGTATCAATGCCAGTATTAGTAACCCGTTGGCTAAGTAAACAGAGTTGTTACTCTTTGCACGTTGGCATAATAATAACTCATTATAACTCCCAATCAATATAGCATGAATCAGTGGAGCATAATATCAAACCACAATATTTAAAGAAAACATGTCTGCCCATCTTCTTAAACAAGTCAGTCAGTCTCTAACCAAAGTCAATGAATAACCAATCTTTCCTTATTTTTCCCACACATATATTATCATTCACATTCATTTTTAATGCATTATAGAAAATAAATCATAATTAAGCTTAATTTAAAAAATGTTAAAATATCATAAAGGCATGCAAAAAAAATTTCTCAGCAAAAATTTACATTTTTAGGAATTAACTAAATTAGTAAATATTGTATAAAATAACATTCTTAAACTTTAATTGAACTAAAGTTCTATTTTTATAGGTCAAAATAAATTTCTAAATTAGTAAAAATCACTACTATTTCAAAGGCACTAGATAAAAAATCTCAAATAAATACTTAAAATATTCACAATTTCGATATCTATATTATATAAAAAGTTACGAGGTCACAATTTTACCAATACAAAATTATTCTCATTTTCGATAACAGAAATACAAATTTAATTGAAAAAATACTAAAATCACAAAATAATTGAAATAAAAAATAAGATATAGATTCCTTGCAGCGTGACGAGCAAATTTTCCAACAAGTTTGATTGCCAATAATCGCTCCATGACCTCCAAATCTAT